CGGGGACGGCCTTCTCCACGCGGCGACGTGACGTGCTTCAACTGTGGCCGACGAGGCCGCATCTCCTCTGACTGCCGTGCGCCTCGACGACGCCCCTCCGCATCCCGGGGCCAGGACTACAGGACGCCCACGGCATCGCGGCAAAAACCAGATGACGCGGGAGTGACGGCTCCATGCAGGCCACGTTCGGCCTCAACGGACCGTGGAGCAGCAGGTGTCCCCGTGGAGATGCCTAAAGGCCCACCGGATGCTCTTGCTCATCCTCCTTCCCTTGTGCCGCCGACAAAGCCTGCCATCCCCTACGATGGTCCCGCGAAACGCGCGCGCGCGAAATCTCGCCGGTTGTTATGATGTTCTTTGGCATGTCTAGTGCCTTGTACATACGTTATGTTGTTAAGGGGGGTATTTATAGGGGTTTTATTGTTCTTGTTCTTGTTGTTCGTGAGGCACACTCACAATGCTTCTACCGTTGGTAATTTCGGAGCTTCCCATTGTTGCAGCCGGGACGGCTGGAGCTTCCGAAGGAGGGGGTGATGTAGAGGTGTTAACTACGCGCTGTTGCGTAACCTGCGTTGCCACCAGGGCGGTGCAGCATTACCCCTGGGTACAACGGTTGGGGTCAGTCGAGGTGAAACGGATCGTAGCCAGGGTTTGGTACGAACCAATCAGACGGTTCCACGTGGGAATGTGTGATTGGTTCTACCTGGCCACGAAGGAGTATAAGACGGGTGACCCAACGGACCTCGGGGGAGTTCTCTCCCTGCACGAAGACAGAAGACTGGGCTGAAGCCTAGCTAGGACCCTGGACCAGCCTTCCAGCCCTTCTAAGGGCTAAGGCTCGGCATACCCAGTGGTCAGGACCCACCGGGCCAGCGGTGGGTCAGATAGCCTCCCCTAGGTCCTAGCCGGAGGACTAGGATAGCGGTAGACGTGTGAGTCCCGCCAAGTCCGGAGGCTGTACCTCCTTAGGTATCAAGGAGGTTAGCGGTAGACGTGTGAGTCCCGCCAAGTCCGGAGGCTGTACCTCCTTAGGTATCAAGGAGGTTAGCGGTAGACGTGTGAGTCCCGCCAAGTCCGGAGGCTGTACCTCCTTAGGTATCAAGGAGGTTAGCGGTAGACGTGTGAGTCCCGCCAGGTACGGAGGCTGTACCTCCCTAGGGTATCGGGTGAGGGGACCGAATATCCCTCTGTGTGTGTTAAGCGTTGTATAAGGAGATAATACAATAAACAGAGTGTGCTTCCTAAAGAAGTCTGCTCGTCCTTACAACACTACAAAGAGATGGAGCTGATGGGTGAGTGAATGGCACGGGCTGGAGAAGAGATGGAGCTGATGGGTGAGTGGATGGCACGGGCTGGAGAAGAGATAGAGCTGTGGGTGGCTGAGTGGGTGGCACGGGCTGGAGAAGAGATGGAGCTGATGGGTAAGTGGGTGGCACGGGCTGCAGAAGAGATGGAGTGATGGGTGAATGGGTGGCACGGGCTGGAGAAGTGATGGAGCTGATGGGTGAGTGGGTGACATGGGCTGGAGAAGAGATGGAGCTGATGGGTGAGTGGTTGGGTGAGTGGGTGGCACGGGCTAGAGAAGAGATGGAGCTGATGGGTGAGTGGATGGCACGGGCTGGAGAAGAGATGGAGCTGATGGGTGAGTGGGTGGCACGGGCTGGAGAAGAGATGGAGCTGATGGGTGAGTGGGTGGGTGAGTGAGTGGCACGGGCTAGAGAAGAGATGGAGCTGATGGGTGAGTGGGTGGGTGAGTGGGTGGCACGGGCTAGAGAAGAGATGGAGCTGATGGGTGAGTGGGTGGCACGGGCTGGAGAAGAGATGGAGCTGATGGGTGAGTGGGTGGCACGGGCTGGAGAAGAGATGGAGCTGATGGGTGAGTGGGTGGCACGGGCTAGAGAAGAGATGGAGCTGATCGGTGAGTGGATGGCACGGGCTGGAGAAGAGATGGAGCTGATGGGTGAGTGGGTGACACGGGCTGGAGAAGAGATGGAGCTGATGGGTGAGTGGGTGGGTGAGTGAGTGGCACGGGCTGGAGAAGAGATGGAGCTGATGGGTGAGTGGGTGACACGGGCTAGAGAAGATATGGAGCTGATGGGTGAATGGGTGGCACGGGCTGGAGCAGAGATGGAGCTGATGGGTTAGTGAGTGGCACGGGCTAGAGAAGAGATGAAGCCTATGGGTGAGTGGGTGACACGGGCTAGAGAAGAGATGGAGCTGATGGGTGAGTGGGTGGCACGGGCTGGAGAAGAGATGGAGCTGATGGGTGAGTGGGTGGGTGAGTGCGTGACACGGGCTGGAGAAGAGATGGAGCTGATGGGTGAGTATGTGACACGGGTTAGAGAAGAGATGGAGCTGATGGGTGGGTGGGTGAGTGGGTGGCACGGGCTAGAGAAGAGATGGAGTAGGCTCGTGAAGGACGCTGCTGTTGCTGGGCAGTAGGAGGCAGTCGCCCTCCAGCAACAACAACGGAGGGCAGAGGAGCGACGCTCACAACAACGAGCGGAGCGCAAGGCGGATAAAAAGATAAAATACACAGTAGGGGGGTACAGCTGGTGGTGCATCTAACGGTCATCTCAGTCAGCTGACCCGTGGCACCTGCTGGGTCCGTCACGTGACCTCCTCCTGCACCTAGCCTGGCACAGTAGGGGGGTACAGCTGGTGGTGCATCTACCATTCATCTCGGTGTGTCACTGCCTGTGCCGCCGCGTGTGGGAGAGACAAAGGCGGCCGGGCGGACGTGCTGTTGCTGGCTACCCACCCACCTATCAGTCTGCCACAGTTGCCGTCCTACATAGCTGGGCTGGCTGGGTTGGTGGGTGAGTTGGTGAGTGGGTGGGTTGGTGGGTGGGTTGGTGGGTGGCTGAGTTGGTGGGTAGGTGGGTGGGTGGGTAGGTGGGTGGGTTTGTGGGTGAGTTGGTGGGTGGGTATGTGGGTGGGTGGGTTTGTGGGTGGGTTGGTGGGTGGCCGAGTTGGTGGGTGGGTAGGTGGGTGGGTAGGTGGGTCGGTGAGTTTGTGGGGGCGTGGGTAGGTTGGTGGATGAGTTGGCGGGTGGCTGAGTTTGTGGGTGGCTGGCTGAGATGGTGGGTGGGTGAGTTTGTGAGTTGGTAGCTGGGTGGGTGAGTTGGTGGGTGGGTGGGTATGTGGGTTGGGGGGTGGGTGGCTGAGTTGGTGGGTGAGTTGGTGAGTGGTTAGCTGAGTGGGTGAGTTGGTGGGTGGGTGAGTTGGTGGGTGGGTAGGTGGGTGGCAGTGAGGGGTTGGTGGATCACACGTGGGTGGATGGGCGTCAAGGAGGAGCCGTGTCCACGGCCTCTGACAGGTAGCAGGTGGACTAATCTCCATCTGTTCCATCTCACTCCTTCCTAGCCCGTGGGTGGACTAATCTCCATCTGTTCCATCTCACTCCCTCCTAGCCCGTGGGTGGACTAATCTCCAACTGTTCCATCTCGCTCCCTTCTACCCCGTGGGTGGACTAATCTCCATCTGTTGCATCTCACTGCCTTCTACCCCATGGGTGGACTAATCTCCATCTGTTCCATCTCACTCCCTTCTACCACGTGTGTGGACTAGTCTCCATCTGTTCCATCTCACGCCCTTCTACCACGTGAGTGGACTAATCTCCATCTGTTCCATCTCACTCCTTCCTACCCCGTGGGTGGACTAATCTCCATCTGTTCCATCTCACTCCTTCCTATCCCGTGGGTGGACTAATCTCCATCTGTTCCATCTCACTCCCCTTCTACCGTGTGTGGACTAATCTCCATCTGTTCCATCTCACTCCCTCCTAGCCCGTGTGTGGACTAATCTCCATCTGTTCCATCTTACTGCCTTCTACCCCGTGGGTGGACTAATCTCCATCTGTTCCATCTCACTGCCTTCTACCCCGTGGGTGGACTAATCTCCATCTGTTCCATCTTACTGCCTTCTACCCCGTGGGTGGACTAATCTCCATCTGTTCCATCTCACTGCCTTCTACCCCGTGGGTGGACTAATCTCCATCTGTTCCATCTCACTCCCTTCTACCCCCTGTGGACTAATCTCCATCTGTTCCATCTCACTCCCCTTCTACCCCGTGTGTGGACTAATCTCCATCTGTTCCATCTCACTCCCCTTCTACCACGTGTGTGGACTAATCTCCATCTGTTCCATCTCACTCCCCTTCTACCACGTGTGTGGACTAATCTCCATCTGTTCCATCTCACTCCCCTTATACCACGTGTGTGGACTAATCTCCATCTGTTCCATCTGATTCCACACTGTGCAAACGATATGCAAATGACATGCAACAGTTATGCAAATGAGATGCAAATAGTTTTTTTTTGCCACGCCCACTCAATACAAAGAGATACGGACAATGCTAAATAATTACCGAGTTTATTCAATCACAGGGGGTTAATTATCACGTGCACTGTTTAAACTCACACCCCCTCGTCCCCGCCCATGGGAATGTGGAATTTCCACTCTAAGACGCAGGTCCGCTAAGCTAAAATTGGACGCGCCTAATTGCGCGAAGATTCATAGACATCTGTTACATTAAATTAAGAATATCCAGGCACGTGGGGAGAAACGTCGGACAACGTGAATTCCGAATTGCACGGCGAACACAACAGCAGCCGGTGACATCTTCGCGGCTCTCGTGCCAGGCTAGGTGCACCTTGAAATGGAGTGCGAGGTGTGGTCTACAGGAGGTCGTGGGTTCGATCACCGACCCTGACGATGCCTGCTGCTGCTGTATATTTGGAGTCTGCGTCTCTCTCTCTCTCATCATCATCACAGCGGCTATGAGATGTTGACTACCTCGCCTGGTCTACAGGAGGTCGTGGGTTCGATCCAGACCCTGACGATGTCTGCTGCTGCTGTAGATTTGGAGTTTCCGTGTCTCTCTCTCTCTCTCATCATCGTCATCATCATCAGCACTAGCTGATCATGATGATCATGTTAATGCTGCTGCTACAGCTGCTTATCATACTGCTGATGATGATGATGATGCTGATGATGACGCTACTGCTGCTGATGATGATGATGATCCCACTGCTGCTGCTGATGATGATGACCGTGCTGCTGGTGATGATCATGATGACCATGTTAATGCTGCTACAGCGGCTGATCATGCTGCTGATGATGATGATGCTGATGATGACGCTACTGCTGATGATGCTGATGATGATGATGATGATTCCCGCTACTGCTGCTGATGATGATGACGATGCTGCTGGTGATGATCATGATGACCATGTTAATGCTGCTACAGCTGCTGATCATGCTGCTGATGCTGCTGCTGCTGATGATGATGCCGCTACTGCTGCTACCGATGATCGCCCCTCCCTCAGTGTCGCGAGACCCGTCACGGGATGTAGGCTGGAGGCTTCTCGCTGGCCGGGAAGTACATTGGCGTGTACAGGGGTGGCGTGTTGGGCAGTAGGGAGGGAGCGATGTTCTGGAGGTCCACGGGAGGAGGCTGCTGCTGCTGCTGCTGCTGGGGGTGCTGCTGCTGCTGGTGGTGGTGGTCGTCCAACCCGACGGGTGGAGCACTGGCGGCTGGGTAGCCCCCGGAGGAGCCCTGTGAGGGATAGGGGGGCAGGGGGGGTGGGGAGGGTGGTGGGGGGGGATGGAGAGATGTGGGGAGATGCAGAGAGAGATGGAGAGAGAGATGGAGAGAGATGGAAAGATGGGGAGAGATGGAGAGAGAGAGAGATGGAGACATGGGGAGAGAGATGGAGAGAGCGAGAGAGATGGAGAGAGAGTTGGAGAGAGAGAGTTGGAGAGAGAGAGTAAGAGAGATGGAGAGAGAGAGATGGAGAGAGATGGAGAGAGAGGGAGAGAGATGATGGAGAGAGAGAGATGGAGAGAGATGGAGAGAGAGATGGAGAGAGATGGAGAAAGATGGAGAGAGAGAGAGATGGAAAGATGGGGAGTTGAAGAGAGATGGAGAGAGATGGAGATAGATGGAGAGAGAGTTGGAGAGGGAGATGGAGAGGAGGTCATGGTTTAACACCTATTATTCCACCTTGTGTGTGTGCACCGTACGTAGCCAACCATGCGTATTGGACGTGTGGGGGAAGGACAACAAACGAAACACAACAAGCAGTTCTACAGAAATTAGTTTTCAATCTAGATTTATCCTTCCTTCATCCACAGCTCCCTCCTTCATCCACAGCTCCCTCCTTCATCCACAGCTCCCACCTTCATTCATAGTTCCCTCCATCCACAGCTCTCTCATTCATATACTTCTCTCTCCTTCATCTATAGCTCCCTCCTTCACCCACAGATCCCTCCATCCACAGCTCTCTCCTTCATCCACAGCTCCCTCCTTCATCCACAGCTCCCTCCTTCACACACAGCTTCATCCACAGCTCACTCCTTCATCCACAGCTCCCTCCTTCATCCACAGCTCTCTCCTTCATCCACAGCTCTCTCCTTCATCCACAGCTCCCTCCTTCATCCACAGCTCCCTCCTTCATCAACAGGTCCCTCCTTCATCCACAGCTCCCTCCTTCATCCACAGCTCCCTCCTTCATCCACAGCTCCCACCTTCATTCATAGTTCCCTCCATCCACAGCTCTCTCATTCATATACTTCTCTCTCCTTCATCTATAGCTCCCTCCTTCACCCACAGATCCCTCCATCCACAGCTCTCTCCTTCATCCACAGCTCCCTCCCTCATCCACACAACAACAACAACCGCTATTCGCCACTAAGTGGCGGTGACGTCACCACGACGCTTGTGCCAGGCTATGTGCACCCTGAGGCCATGTGAAGTGTCGAACGCCCGCTGGCAGGAGGTCACGGGGCAGACCCAGGTGCCACGGGTCGACTGACTGAGATGACTGGCTGATGCACCACCTGTGCCCCCTACTGTGCCAACCTGCTGTGCTTTAGCCACCCGGCGCTCCGCTCGCTGTTGTGATCGTCGCTCCTCCGCCCTCCGTTGTTGTTGGAGGGCGACTGCCTCCAACTGCCCAGTAGCATCCTTCACGAGCCTCCTCCACAGAGGCCGATCTTGACACCGCTGGTACCAGTCATCGGCAAGTCCACTCAGCTCCACGTCCTCTTGTACCACATCACTCCATCTCTTCTCTAGCCCGTGCCGCGCCCGCTTAGCCCCCTCAATCCGTCCAAACAAAAGCTGTTTCGGCATGCGGTGGCTGGGCATGCGGGCTACATGACCCAGCCATCGCAGTCTTGCCTGCCGGAGGAGCTCACCGATGGGACCCTGCCTAGATCTTTCAAGGATTTGTGAGCTCCTCACACAATCCAGTCTGGTTAAACCCAGGATGGATCGTAGGCAGGCCAGCCTAAATGTTTCTAACCGGCGAAGATGTTCCATTAGGGGGGTCCACGTTTCACAAGCGTAGAGAAGGGAGGGAATGACCGTGGCCGAGAAGACCTGAAGCTTAGTGCGGAGCGACAGACCAGGTAGCTTCCACACCGCGTTACGCAACCGATGAAAAGATATTGCCGCTCGACTGATTCGGAGTGAGACCTCTGCTGTTAAACTGGAGCCAGTCATAAGCACACTGCCCAGGTATGGGAAACTCTCCACTTTCTCCGCAACTGCCCCATCACCGATTGGGAGTTGTGGGAGTGGAGTGTCCGATGGTACAAAATATCCAGGCAGGTGCTTAGTTTTGGTGGGGCTGATGGTAAGGCCCCACCTCTTAGTAGCACGCTCCAGTCTCAGCAGCAGCGTCTCCAACTCCTCCTCTGACTGAGCAGCTATTACCAAGTCATCAGCATACATAACGTGGTTGAGCAATAGGGAGCCATCCCTTGACCGCACCCGGGCATCGATTAGCCTCCCATTATATCTGTACCATATGGAGATTCCCCCGGTACAGCTATTGAAGGCTTCACGAACTACGTGGTCAAAATAGATGTTAAATAATGTGGGAGCCAGAGGACATCCCTGTCGCACCCCAAGGTGTACAGGGAATGGCTCTGACTCCCGGCCACGTAGTTTTACCCGGGCCCGCTCACCATCATGAAGGTCCTTAATGATCGTGAGCAGAGGGTCAGGTACTCCAAAAGCACGAAGAACGACCCAGAGCCCAGGCCTACTGATGGTATCATAGGCCTTGACCAGGTCAATAAAGCAGAGATGTAGGTCTTGTTGGAATTCCCTACACCTCTGCTGTAGCAGACGGACAGAAAATATGGCATCTGTGCAGGACCGCCCTTTCCTGAAACCGCATTGGGGCTCCGCAAGCCTCTCCTCAGCGTGCCTGGCAAGGCGATGCTGAATAATCCTTGCCAGGACCTTTCCCGGCACACTGAGGAGTGAGATGCCCCTGTAGTTGTTACAGTCTGTGCGGTCCCCCTTCTTAAAAAGGGGGACCACCAGGGCATCCTTCCAATCCTGCGGAACCCGTCCAGTGGTCCAGACTGTTGTTATGATGTCATATAGGGCAGTCTGTGCACAAACGCCACCCTCCCTCAGCATTTTGCTTGGGAGATCATCTCTGCCCGCTGCCTTTCCTGGTCTCAGACTCCGGATCGCCTTCAATACTTCCTCAGCAGATGGCACCTCAGCCAGCCACTCACAGGGGGTGACTTCATCCAATATTTGAGGCACCGCAGCCTCAGCAGGGTCATCCTCACTTTGTGCCACGATGTTTTCCTGGCTGAGGGATTTTCCTTCCCCCAGGACCTCACAGAAATGCTCAGCAAATCTGCGAACCTGTTCCTGGGGGTCGGAAATTGGATCACCGTTTTTTCCCCTAATGATGGTAATAGGTGTGGCGCTGCAGGTTACTTTTTTGATGGAGTTAAATAGAGATTTGTGATCACGGGCCACTGAGGCAGACTCCATCTCCTCAGCAACCCGCGACCACCACCCATCCTTGCAGCGCCTCACGGCTCTCCGAACCTCCGAGCGAAGGCTGCGGTAAGCCTCCTCATTCTCTGACGTGGGATTCTGTAGCCGATGACAGTAGGCCTGTCGCTTTTTCTCAACCATCCTGAACAACTCCTCTGTCACCCAGGGTGTCTGAGGAGGTCTGGACCGCGTACCCAAAGCAGCCATTGCAGCTGCATGAGTCACAGTCCTAAACCTCGCCCATTTACCCTCGACATCAGGAGTCGGGGACGATGCCAATCCCAGCCGCAAGCGATGATGAAATTCTCGCTTGCAACTTTCATCAGATAACTGAGACCAGGCCACTTTAGGTTGGAATGGGGTCCTGGGTGTACACCCACCACTGGAGTGGAAGAATGGCAGGCGCATCTTACAGATGACTAGTCGATGGTCAGAGGGCAGATCAGCTCCACGGTAGGTCCTGGTGTCAAGGACATGGGCTCGCATTCGCCGGTCCGTCACTATGTAGTCCAGCAGATGTTCTTGCTTGGACCCGGCATGCATCCATGATGTTGTGTGGATGCGCCGATGCCGGAACAGCGTGTTGGTAATTACAAGCCCATGGGCTGCACAAAAATCTAGCAGCCTCCTACCGTTGTTATTGAGCTGATCTGGCCCATGCCCTCCAATCACTCCAGACCAGGTGCCAGTATCATGACCAACTCGGGCATTGAAGTCACCCAACATGATGACTCTATCCCGAGGGGCCACTTTAGCCAGCACCTGTGACAGGAGGTCATAGAAGGCATCTGACTCATCGGCTTTGCCTGCATCCCTCCACGGATGTTCATCTTCGGTGGGGGCATAAGTAACCACGACCACCATTCCTTGCCTCCGGTTGATGGGAAGGCGAGCCCAAAGTAGCCTGGGGCTTACAGCTTCCCACACCTCACCGCCACGCTCCCACGCCCCTTTCATTCTTTTGTTCAAAAGAAGACCCACACCCTGTTGTTTGGCAGTGTGCTGCCCCGAGTAGAGGACTGTCCACCCCTCATGGTGGCAGGAGCCAGAGCCGGTCCACCGGACCTCCTGAATGCCGCATAGATCCAGGCGGTACCGGTCCAGCTCCCGACAGAGGAGTGGCAGCCTCTCCTCTGCAGTGAGCGTTCGAACATTCCACGTGGCCACCCGTAGTGGCTTTTCGTTGTTTCTGGAGTAGCCCCGAGGGTAGGTATTCAATCTCCTGGCTCCGCCAATTGGGGTTTGGCCAGGAGACGTCATAGACGCCTGGCCCCCCGGGGCCTCCGGCACAAGCTTAGTTGTTACATATTTCAGTTTAATTCGTGGTTTCGTGGTAATTAATTGAAGGTGGAGGGGTTACCAGCCCCTCGCACCCGTCCAGAGCCCCCGTTTAGCCCCTGTGGTGGACACATATGCCATGAGGGGAGGAGCCAATCAAAATTGGATCTCCCCTCACAGCGCTGTCCACGACAGAGTTGCCCGTCCGGCACCGCGAGGAGGTAGGGGGTTGTTTTGCCGGACTTCATCCACAGCTCCCTCCTTCACACACAGCTTCATCCACAGCTCACTCCTTCATCCACAGCTTCCTCCTTCATCCACAGCTCTCTCCTTCATCCACAGCTCTCTCCTTCATCCACAGCTCCCTCCTTCATCCACAGCTCCCTCCTTCATCAACAGGTCCCTCCTTCATCCACAACTCCCTCCTTCATCCACAGCTCCCTCCTTCATCCACAGCTCCCTCCTTCATCCACAGCTCTCTCCTTCATTCACAGCTTTCTCCTTCATCCACAGCTCCTTCCTTCATCCACAGCTCTCTCCTTCATCCACAGCTCCCTCCTTCATCCACAGCTCCCTCCTTCATCCACAGCTCTCTCCTTCATCCACAGCTCCCTCCTTCATCCACAGCTCTCTCCTTCATCCACAGCTCCCTCCTTCATCCACAGCTCTCTCCTTCATCCACAGCTCCCTCCTTCATCAACAGGTCCCTCCTTCATCCACAGCTCCCTCCTTCATCCACAGCTCCCTCCTTCATCCACAGCTCTCTCCTTCATTCACAGCTTTCTCCTTCATCCACAGCTCCCTCCTTCATCCACAGCTCTCTCGTTCATCCACAGCTCCCTCCTTCATCCACAGCTCCCTCCTTCATCCACAGCTCCCTCCTTCATCCACAGCTCTCTCCTTCATCCACAGCTCCCTCCTTCATCCACAGCTCTCGCCTTCATCCACAGCTCTCTCCTTCATTAACAGCTCCCTCCTTCATTCCTCCTTGATCCACAGCTCTCTCCTTCATCCACAGCTGCTACTACTACTGGTGCTACTACTGCTGCTACTACTACGACTACTGCCACTACTGCTACCACCACTGCTGCTACTGATGCTGCTTCTACTGCTACCACTACTGCCGCTACCACTACCCTGACTACTACCGCTACCACTACTACTGCTGCTGCTATTACTGCTACCACTACTGCTGCCACTGCCGTTCCTGCTGCTGCTACTACTGCCATATCACTACCACTACTGCAACTACTACTACTGCTGCTACTGTTATTGCTGCTACTACTGCAACTACTGCTGCAACTACTGCTGCAACTACTGCTGCAACTACTGCTGCTAATACTGCTACTACCCCGACTGCTGCTGCTGCTGCTACTGGCTGCGTACCGACAGGGCGAGGGCTGGGTAGGTGCAGTAGCTGGTGTAGGTGATCACTTGCTGCGGCTGCTGCCCGTTGGTTCCCGACGGCTGGAAGCTGGGCTGAGCAAAAGCCTGAGTTGGGCTTCGCAGTGTCTGCAACAACAAAAATAACAACAATAACAACGATTTCAAGAAGAACAACACGTGCAATAACAACATACGCAACACAACAACACAACAACGCATTTATATAATAGCGACACGTGAAACACGACGGTCAGTCTGTGGGTCTCTATGTGAGTCTATGTGTCTCTGTGTGAGTCTATGGGTCTATGTCTGAGTATATGGGTCTCTGTGTGAGTCTATGTGTCTCTGTGTGAGTCTATGGGTCTATGTCTGAGTATATGGGTCTCTGTGTGAGTCTATGGGTCTCTTTGTGAGTCTATGGGTCTATGTCTGAGTATATGGGTGTCTGTGTGAGTCTATGGGTCTCCATTTGAGTCTATGGGTCTTTGTGTGAGTCTGTGGGTCTCTATGTGAGTCTATGAGTCTCTGTGTGAGTCTGTGGGTCTCTGTGGAGTCTATGCATCTCTATGTTAGTCTATGGGTCTCTGTGTGAGTCTATGGGTCTCTGTGTGAGTCTATGGGTCTCTGTGTGATTCTATGGCTCTCTATGTGAGTCTATGGGTCACTATTTTAGTCTATTGGTCTCTATGTGAGTCTATGGGTCTCAGTGTGAGTCTTTGGGTCTCTGTTTGAGTCTATGCGTCTCTGTGTGAGTATATGGGTCCCTGTGTGAGTGTATGCGTCTCTGTGTGAGTCTGTGGGTCTCTGTGTGAGTCTATGGGTCTCTGTGTGAGTCTGTGGGTTTTCTGTGTGAGTCTATGGGTCTCTGTGTGAGTGTCTGTGTCTCTGTGTGAGTCCGTGGGTCTTTGTGTGGGTCTATGAGTCTCTGTGTGAGTCTATGGGTCTCTATGTGAGTCTACGGGTCTCTGCGTGAGTCTATGGGTCTCTGTGTGAGTCTATGGGTCTCTGTGTGAGTTTATGGGTCTCTGTGTGAGTCTATGCGTCTCTGTGTGAGTCTACGGGTCTCTGTGTGAGTCTATGGGTCTCTGTGTGAGTCTGTGGGTTTTCTGTGTGAGTCTATGGGTCTCTGTGTGAGTGTCTGTGTCTCTGTGTGAGTCCGTGGGTCTTTGTGTGAGTCTATGCGTCTCTGTGTGAGTCTATGGGTCTCTGTGTGAGTCTACGGATCTCTGTGTGAGTCTACGGGTCTCTGCGTGAGTCTACGGGTCTCTGTGTGAGTCTATGGGTCTCTGTGTGAGTCTATGGGTCTCTGTGTGAGTCTACGGGTCTCTGTGTGAGTCTACGGGTCTCTGTGTGAGTCTACAGGTCTCTGTGTGAGTCTGTGGGACTCTCTGTGAGTCTACGGGTCTCTGCGTGAGTCTGTGGGCCTCTATGCCGCCCACCTCTTTGAAGTCCCCCAGGATGGCTGCAGTGACGATGCCCAACATGAGTCCCAGCACGTTGAGGCTGGTGGTCGTCCAGAGCAGCCTGTAGAGGTGGACGACTTCCCGGCAGTCGGAGACGCCTGTGAACACGTGGTAGGCGCCTATCCCGCTCGGCCTGCTCTCACTCGCACACGCACGCACGCAGAGACGCCTCTCGGTACCTCGCGGATGGCCGTCGAACGCGATACACTACACTATACACTACTTTATACTACCATGCACTACGCTATATACTACTTTACACTACTATACACTACGCTATATACTACTTTACACTACTATACACTACGCTATATACTACTTTACACTACTATACACTATACTATACACTACACTATACACTACACCATACACTACACTATACACTACACTATACACTACACTATACACTACACTATACACTACTTTACACTACCATACACTACACTATATACTACTTTACACTACTATACACTGCACTATATACTACTTTATACTACTATACACTACACTATACACTACACTATATACTACTTTACACCAGTATACACTACACTATACACTACACTATATACTACTTTACACTACTATACACTACTATACACTACACTATATACTACTTTACACTACCATACACTACACTATATACTACTTTACACTACTATACACTACGCTATATACTATTTTATACTACCATACACTACACTATACACTACTTTACACTGCACTATACACTACACTACTATACACTACTTTACACTACACTATACACTACACTATACCATACACTACACTATACACACACTATACACTACACTATACACTACACTTTACACTACACTATACCATACACTACATTATAAACTACACTATACACTACACTGTACACTACACTATACACTACACCATACACTACACTATACACTACACTATAACCACTATACACTATACTATATACTACTTTACACTACACTATACACTACACCATACACTACACTATACACTACACTATACACTACACTATACACTACACCATACACTACACTGTACACACTGATTACACTCCTGTACGCTACACTATACACTACTATACACTGCACTATACACTACTATATACACTACACTATACACTACATTACACTACACTATACACTACACCATACACTACACACTATACTATACACTACACTATACACTACGATGGGTCTCTATGCGACGCGCTTGCAGATTGCGCTGCTGCTGCCGTGGCCGTCTGGAACGTTCTTCCCGCTCGATATTAGGAAGCTTCTGGGAGCTGTGATGCACTTTTACATCATCGTCATCATCGTCTAGATTTACAAACTCTTTTATTTAGAACATCTCCTGCTTGTCGACTCACTCACCCGCTCACTCACCCACTCACTCACTCACCCTTTCACTCACCCACTCACTCACTCACCCACTCACTCACCCATTCACTCACCCACTCACTCACCCACTCACTCACTCACTCACCCACTCACTCACTCACCCATTCACTCACCCACTCACTCACTCACCCACTCACTCACTCACCCATTCACTCACCCACTCACTCACTCGTCCACCCACTCACTCACCAACTCACTCACCCACTCACCCACTCACTCACCCACTCACTCACCCACTCACTCACTCACCCATTCACTCACCCACTCACTCACTCACTCACCCACTCACACACCCACTCACCCACTCACTCACTCACCCACTCACTCACCCCCTCACTCACTCACTCACCCACCCACTCACCCATTCACTCACCCACTCACACACTCACTTACCCACTCACTCACTCACCCACTCACTCACCCACTCACTCACTCACCCACTCACTCACTCACCCACTCACTCACTCACCCATTCACTCACCCACTCACTCACTCACCCACTCACCCACTCACTCACCCACTCACCCACTTACTTACTCACCCACTCACTCACTCACCCACTCACTTACCCACTCACCCACCCACTCACTGCGAGTAGCAGCAGCACCTATGAAGGTAGACACAGACAAAGCTCCCCCGTGTAGCCTCTAACAGGATGTAGGGGCAAGTGCTGTGAAGGCTACCGGCACTGTGACACACGAAGAGGTGGGTGGCTACCAGCACTACGCCCGACCGCCTTTGTCTCCCCAGTGGCGATGTTCACTACACACCGCTACACCAGCTATTCGTTTGAGGCTGAGTCGACCTAGGGGAGGCCCAGGACCGGTTCAGATAACCGTCACCGGTGGTGTTGGTCGTGAACGGGAATCGAACTCGAGTCTCTGGGTGCATTACGCAGCGCAGCGCTAACCACTACACCCACCGCTCACCACACCTCCATATCACCACCACCATTGCCACCATCGCCACCACCACTGCCATCACCACCACCATCATCACCACCACCACCACTGCCACCATCACCACTGCCACCACCAACACCGCCACCACACCATCACCACCAAACCACCATCACCATCATCACCACCATCACCATCATCACCACCATCACCAACACCACCATCATCACCATCACTATCACCAGCACTATCAGCACCACCATCACCACCACACCACCATCACCACTACCACATCACCACCACACCATCACCACCACACCACCATGACCACCATCAACACCACACCACCATCACCACACCACCATCATCACCACCACACCACCATCACCACCACACCACCATCACCACCATCACCACCACACCACCATCACCACCACACCACCATCACCACCACACCACCATCACCATCATCACCACCAACACCACCACACCACCATCACCACCACCATCACCACCACACCACCATCACCAGCACCATCACTACCACACCACCATCACCACCACACCACCATCACCACCACACCACCATCACCACCACACCACCATCACCACCACCATCACCACCACACCACCATCACCACCATCACCACCACCATCACCACCATCACCACCACATCACCACCACACCACCATCACCGCCACACCACCATCACCACCATCAACACCATCACCACCACCATCACCAGCACTATCACCACCACATCACCACCACACCACCATCACCACCATCACCGCCACACCACCATCACCACCAACAACACCATCACCACCATCACCACCATCACCACCACACCACCATCACCACCACCATCACCACCATCACCACCACACCACCATAACCACCACCACACCACCATCACCACCACCATCACCACCACACCACCATCACCACCACACCACCAACATCACCACCACCATCACCACCACACCACCACACCACCACTATCACCACCATCACCACCATCACCACCACCATCACTACCACCACCATCACCACCACACAACCATCACCATCACCACCATCAGCACCACCATCAACACCACACCACCATCACCACGCCACCATCACCACCATCACCACCACACGACCATCACCACCACACCAACACACCACCATCACCAGCACACCACCATCACCACCACATCACCACAATCACCATCACCAGCACTATCACCAGCACTATCACCACCACATCACCACCACACCACTATCACCGCCAAACCACCATGACCGCCATCACCACCACACCACCATCACCATCATCACCAAAAACACCACCACACCAGCACCATCACCACCACACCCCCATCACCACCACACCACCATCACCACCACACCACCATCACCACCATCACCACCACCACACCACCATCACAACCACACCACCATCACCACCATCACCACTATCAACACCACACCACCACACCACCATCACCACACCACCATCACCACCATCAACACCACCACCATCACCACCATCACCACCACCATCACCACCACACCACCATCACCACCATCACCACCACCATCACCACCACACCACTATCATCACCACCACCATCACCACCACACCACCATCACCACCACACCACCATCACCACCACACCACCATCACCACCACCCCATCACCACCACACCACCATCACCACCATCACCACCATCACCGCCACACCACTATCACCATCACCACCACTATCACCATCACCACCACCATCACCACCATCACCACCACACCACCATCACCACCACACCACCACCACCACCACACCACCATCACCACCACACCACCATCACCAACACACCACCATCACCACCATCACCACCATCACCACCACACCACCATCACCACCACACCACCATCACCACCACCATCACCACCACACCACCATCACCACCACCATCACCACCACACCACCATCACCATCACACCACCATCACCGCCACACCACCATCACCACCATCACCACCACCACACCACCATCACCACCACACCACCATCACCACCATCACCACCACACCACCACACCACCATCACCACCATCACCACCACACCACCATCACCACCACACCACCATCACCACCATCACCACCACCATCACCACCACACCATCACCACCACCACACCACCATCACCACCACACCACTATCACCACATCACCACCACCACACCACCACCACCACACCACCATCACCACGGGTTTTCTGTTTCGTTAATTCCACAAATTCCTCAGGGTCACAAATCAGCCACGCTTCGCCACTGCCCCACGTGACCTCGTCTAGGGGGGGTGGGGCGGGGGTGGAGGGGCGGGGGATGTTGTGGGGTGGGGGTGGAGTCTTTAGGTCTCTGTGTGAGTCTATGGGTCTCTGTGTGAGTCTGTGGGTATCTGTGTGAGTCTCTGTGTCTCTGTGTTAGCCTGTGGGTCTCTGTGGGAGTATATGGGTCTCTGTGTGAGTCTGTGGGACTCTGTGTGAGTCTGTGGGTCTCTGTGTGAGTCTGTGGGTATTTGTGCGAGTCTACGGGTCTCTGTGTGAGTCTCTGTGTCTCTGTGTTAGTCTGTGGGTCTCTGTGTGAGTCTATGGGTCTCTGTGTGAGTCTGTGGATCTCTATGCGTGTCTGTGGGTCTCTATGCGTGTCTGTGGGTCTCTATGCGTGTCTGTGGATCTCTGTGTGAGTCTGTGGGTCTCTATGTGAGTATGTGGGTCTCTATGTGACCCTGTGGGTCTCTATGCGTGGCTGTGGGTCTCTATGCGTGTCTGTGGGTCTCTGTGTGAGTCTGTGGGTCTCTATGCGTGTCTGTGGGTCTCTATGCATGTCTATGGGTCTCTGTGTGAGTGTGTGGGTCTCTGTGTGAGTCTGTGGGTCTCTATGCGTGTCTGTGGGTCTCTGTGTGTTTGTGTGTCTCTATGTGAGTCTGTGGGTCTCTGTGTGAGTCTATGGGTCTCTGTGTGAGTCTGTGGGTCTCTGTGTGAGTCTGTGCATCTCTGTGTGAGTCTGTGGGTCTCTGTGTGAGTCTGTGGGTCTTTGTGCGAGTCTACGGGTCTCTGTGTGAGTCTCTGTGTCTCTGTGTTAGTCTGTGGGTCTCTGTGTGAGTCTATGGGTCTCTGTGTGAGTCTGTGGATCTTTATGCGTGTCTGTGGGTCTCTATGCGTGTCTGTGGGTCTCTATGCGTGTCTGTGGGCCTCTATGCGTGTCTGTGGGTCTCTGTGTGAGTCTGTGGGTCTCTATGCGTGTCTGTGGGTCTCTATGCGTGTCTGTGGGTCTCTGTGTGAGTCTGTGGGTCTCTATGTGAGTCTGTGGGTCTCTATGTGACCCTGTGGGTCTCTATGCGTGTCTGTGGGTCTCTATGCGTGTCTGTGGGTCTCTGTGTGAGTCTGTGGGTCTCTATGCGTGTCTGTGGGTCTCTATGCGTGTCTATGGGTCTCTGTGTGAGTCTGTGGGTCTCTATGCGTGTCTATAGGTCTCTGTGTGAGTCTGTGGGTCTCTATGCGTGTCTCTGGGTCTCTATGCGTGTCTGTGGGTCTCTGTGTGAATCTGTGGATCTCTATGCGTGTCTGTGGGTCTCTACGTGAGTCTATGGGTCTCTATGTGAGTCTGTGGGTCTCTGTGTGTTTGTGTATCTCTATGTGAGTCTGTGGGTCTCTATGCGTGTCTGTGGGTCTCTACGTGAGTCTATGGGTCTCTATGTGAGTCTGTGGGTCTCTGTGTGTTTGTGTATCTCTATGCGTCTGTGGGTCTCTATGCGTGTCTGTTGGTCTCTATGTGAGTCTGTGGGTCTCTATGCTTGGTGTCTGTGGGTCTCTATGTGACCCTGTGTCTCTATGTGACCCTGTGGGTCTCTATGCGTGTCTGTGGGTCTCTATGTGAGTCTATGGGTCTCTGTGTGTGTCTGTGGGTCTCTATGCGTGTCTGTGGGTCTCTGTGTGAGTCTGTGGGTCTCTGTGTGAGTCTGTGGGTCTCTGTGTGAGTCTGTGGGCCTCTGTGTGAGTCTATGTGTCTCTGTGTGAGTCTATGTGTCTCTGTGTGAGTCTGTGGGTCTCTGTGTGTTTGTGTGTCTCTATGTGAATCTGTGGGTCTCTGTGTGAGTCTGTGGGTCTCTATGCGTGTCTATGGGTCTCTGTGCGTGTTACCTTCCGCAGCTGTAGAGTTCACAGCAGTAGCACGTGCGGCTGGCCACCATGAGGCCACAGAAGCCTGCCGCACCGGGGCACTGTACCTGGCACCGGGGTAGGTCACGGGGTCACACACGCGGCGTTGAGTCGGTGCGAGTGGGTGAGTGAGTGAGTGGGTGAGTGAGTGACTCGGTGAGTGGGTGAATGTGTGAGTGGGTGAATGTGTGAGCGAGTGACTGGGTGGGTGAGTGAGTGAGTGAGTGCGTGAGTGAGTGAGTGGGTGAGCGAGTGGTTGAGTGGGTGAGTGAGTGAGTGGGTGAGTGAGTGGGTGAGTGAGTGGGTTAGTGGGTGAGTGAGTGAGCGAGTGAGTGGGTGAGTGGGTGAGTGGGTGAGTGAGTGGGTGAGTGAGTGGGTGAGTGAGTGGGTGAGTGAGTGAGTGAGTGAGCGAGTGAGTGAGTGGGTGGGTGGGTGAGTGAGTGGGTGAGTGAGTGGGTGAGTGGGTGAGTGAGTGGGTGAGTGGGTGAGTGAGTGAGTGGGTGAGTGAGTGAGTGAGTGGGTGAGTGAGTGGGTGAGTGAGTGAGTGAGTGGGTTAGTGGGTGGGTGGGTGAGTGAGTGAGTGAGTGGGTGGGTGAGTGGGTGAGTGGGTGAGTGAGTGGGTGAGTGAGTGGGTGAGTGGGTGAGTGAGTTAGTGAGTGGGTGAGTGGGTAAGTGAGTGAATGAGTGGCTGAGTGGGTGGATGGGTGAGTGAGTGGGTGGGTGAGTGGGTGAGTGGGTGAGTGAGTGGGTGGGTGAGTGAGTGAGTGGGTGAGTGGGTGGGTGAGTGAGTGAGTGAGTGGGTGAGTGAGTGAGTGGGTGGGTGGGTGGGAGAGTGGGTGAGTGAGTGAGTGAGTGGGTGAGTGGGTGAGTGAGTGAGTGAGTGGGTGGGTGGGTGAGGGAGTGAGTGCGTGAGTGAGTGAGTGGGTGAGTGAGTGGGTGTGTGAGTGGGTGAGTGGGTGAGTGAGTTGGTGAGTGAGTTGGTGAGTGTGGGTGAGTGAGTGAGTGGGTGAGTGAGTGGGTGTGTGAGTGGGTGAGTGGGTGAGTGAGTTGGTGAGTGAGTTGGTGAGTGTGGGTGAGTGAGTGAGTGGGTGAGTGAGTGGGTGAGTGAGTGAGTGCCTCGGTGAGTGGTTGAATGTGTGAGTGGGTGAATGTGTGAGCGAGTGACTGGGTGGGTGAGTGAATGTGTGGGTGGGTGAATGTGTGGGTGGGTGCATTTGTTAATGTCTGAGTGAATGAGTGAATGGGTGAATGAGTGAATGGGTGAGTGGGTGAATTTGTGAATGGGTGAATGTGTGAATGTTTGGCCACGTATTGTGCAAAAGAATGTTCAACATACACTAAGAGACCCAGGGCTTGAACAAATGGAACTCAGAGTATCTGACACGGCCATCGTGAACCCACTGAGAGAGAGACACCCAAACCCAGGGCTCGAATCCAGCCTCTCAGTGTCTCTGACACGGCCATCGTGAACCCACTGAGAGAGAGACACCCAGACCCAGGGCTCGAACCCAGCCTCTCAGTGTCTCTGACACGGCTATCGTGAACCCACTGAGAGAGAGACCCCCAGACCCAGGGCTCGAACCCAGC